TTGCTAGGAAAAGTAGGTACAAAACACGTTTTTGATTTAAATTCGATATTTTCTATCCAGTTCCTCCTAATTTCGTAGTAACAAAACCCTTTCCTCCTAATTTCGTAGTAAACATTTACTATGACTTTAAGAGGAAAGGCAGTACTACGAGTTTACGAGGAAATGTACTTTTTCCTCGTAAGCTCCTCGTAAAATTACTACGGTCTTACGAGGAATTCGGTTTCTCGTAAATTTACGAGGATCTTATTTCCTCGTAAGACCGAAGTAAGGGCCTAGTAATTTAGCGAGGAACAATTTTCCTAGTAAAATTTCCTAGTAAAGGCTTAGTTTTCTTGTAGTGGTTTGGCATTAATACCATTATTTATATTTGGTTTTATTTAAGTTTCAAAAAAAAAAAATATATATATATATATATATGGTTTTCTTTCTTTTTACACCAGAATACTCCTGCATTACTGCTTCGATAATGAGTCTGACCTCAAGAACAATTTCGAGGTTGGCCAAGCTTCGTTACCACCAGACGTATATCTATCTCGGTAAGGGGCTAATCTTTCAACAAATTCTGAATATACCTTTATAGCTAAGGTTGTAAAAGTTAAGAACCATATAAGAGAAGTATGATGTGTCTTTTGGCTTTCGAACAAATGGAACACCTGAAAGCTAAGAACAACAAGTAGTTCAGTCAGTCAATCTCTCAGTAAGCCAACTCATATAACTAATACAATTAAGCCAACTCATACATGTGTAATCTCTTTTTCAATTATGAATATATTCTTTTTTTTTATTTCCTTATATGAAACATATAATTTGCTTATTTGGGCTTAGGGTCACACAAAATTACAATGTTTGGATCGTTGCTAATCAATACACGTTAGTAGAATTCCTTCCTTGCAGGACAAGTACCAGGAGAGTAATGTAACAACACATTAAAAAAATTATGCATGCGGTTTGAAATAAAGCACCCATGTTAGCTAACAAGAAGATAACACACATCACACTTCACAATGCATAACAATCATCACTATAGACGTGCAAAATCTTTAAAAAGACCGACACTTGACGGGGGTACGCATGTATCATGTAAAAATTAAATACTATGTTAAATTGAACAATCAGAACCTAAGTCTAATTATAAACTTCCAAAATAATGAACAACAATATAAACAAACTAAAATCAGACATTGTGCATTATATACATGCCACTAGTTTATTTTAATTTTTTAAAAAAATGATAGAGAGTATACAAATTGTTAGCAAAGTTTTATTATTTAAAATCATTAACTGTATATATATATATATATATATATATATATATTAATCATATTAGGTAATTACGTTTTTTTTTAAATATAAAATAATTTTTAGATTAATAAGGGGTTTATGGTTAATAAAATAAAAACTAAAATTTATTTTTGGGTGGACTAATTTTTTCTAAGGCTCTTAGGAATATATATATATATATATTTAAATATATAAAGGATTATTAGGGTTTGGTATTTATAGGGTAGGGTTAGATTTTAAACATTTCTAAATGTTTTATGAATTATTTGTAAATATTTATAAATAATTTAGAAAATTAATTTAATTTTTATCACAAATTTAAAATATTTATGAAATAATTATGCTGTAAAGATAAATTTGAAAAGTAGTATTCCCTCTGTTTCAAAAAGTTACACATTTTAGTTTTTTTTCACACATATGCATAATTTATTATAGATAACAAATCTCTATATTTTTTAAACAATACAATTTTAAAAATATAATTAATTTTTTTGGAATCTACAATTTTTCATTAAATTATATATTGAAATGTCAAAAATACATCTTTTTAAATAAATATTTTTCTAGAATGTTCATCTTTTTTTAAAGGAGGGAGTGTGAAACTTGAAATTTCACCAAGATAAAATCTCTACAAATCCTTCTTCTAACCATCTAATAAATGGAAATAAGGGAACTCACTAAGACCGTCACACAAAATGGTAAGAGCTGGAGGATTGTTCCATCCGCGAGTGAAAAGTGGCTGGAAAACCCTTAGAGCATCCACATCAATGAACCCCCTCTCGGGGTTCACTGAATCATTTTTTTATTATTAAAAATTTTCTATTTTTTTTTTATTTTTTTTTTTTAAAAAAAAAAGAAAAAAAAAATCTAGACCAATCCCGAGCTGACACGTGTTGAACCTCAGGAGAGAGGGGTTCACCCGAGAGAATTTTAGGAGAGAGGGGTTCATAGGTTTTTGTTATTTTATTAATTTTTTTTTTGGTTTCCGTGTGAACCCCCCATTTGAACTCTCAATGGGGGTGCTCTTATGATCCAATTTAGAAGAAGAGAGCTAGTCCCATCTATACTATTAAAGCAGAATCCCATGAGGGATTCTGCCCATACTTTTTCAAAATATTTACATCCAAATGCCATTATCTTTTTTGTCTTTTAAAAAAATATATGTGACCATGTTTTTCGACCTATCAGAACACTTCCGTATTTTATAAATAAGCAAACAAATTAGACCCACGAGTAAGCCCATGCATTTTTAGAACCAATCAGAAATTTTTTTGGTATCATAAACAGTATATAGAAATATGGTTATACTACAGATTTCTGTGAATATTTTAAATGTAATGTCAACGGTTATCTAAAATTTAGGAATCAACAAATCAGATGTTTAACAGTATTTTACGGTTTTCTATACAATATATACATGCTTTTATATTTTCATTTATAGTCGGGGCATGTATCAATGCTATTAAAACATAAACAATATTTTTGTGGACAGAAAACATAAACAATATTTATCTACTTGCATGTAGTTTATGTTGAACCACTACATTTATTTAATTTGATATTGATTCTCCTACAATTAACTTAGATATTATTAAGTATATACTATATCTAACCAAATATTTTCATATTTTCAAAATAACATATCTCAAAAAATCTCTTAAGTATCTTTTTCTAAGATTAGATTTTAATAATATCTTTTATTTAAAGTGTAAATATATATTTCTTTTTATTATTCTTTTTTAAATACGAAAAATAATTATTAATATTAACTATATCTAAAAAAGAATACTATTTCATTTTCATTTATCTAATAAGAAATAAAATTTCTATAATATTTATATATAGATTAAATTACTACACCAAGTAATAAATATAAAGTAACTTTATCCATTTATTAACTATTTTGTAAATTATAAAATAACATAATAATAAATATATTCATGAATTTTACAACATATTAAAACAATATTAAAGTATGATATATAAACTAATAAATAATTTCATAAGTTAATATGTATATTTCAATTAAAATATTAAAAAATTAATATATTTATCAACTATGAAACGAGTAATGCTGACAAAAAATATAACAATACAATAAATGCTTACCAAAATAATTTTTTTAAGAAAATTGTACTATAGCTTAAAGTTTTAAAATATAAGTAAAACTGATATGAGGCAGTTTATATAAATTAATGATCTTATTTTCATAAAATTATCTTCATGTAAATTTTAATTTTATTATATATATTTCAAACACAAATGTTTTTTTATAAAAAAGATACATAAGTATAAGATTTCTAATTTGCAGTAAATGAGTTTTTGAATAAAAATTTATCTCTCTTTAAAGTGTGGATGAAAATCTAATAATAAATATTATTATTATTAGATATATAATAAAAATTAATAAATACTAAAATGTGTAATATGAATAATTAATTAAATTTAAAAAAAACTACAAAAAATCTAATAACATGTGAACTATAAAAGTAAACTAAATATATATATATATATATATATATAAGTAATTATATTTATGTCAAACTTAAATCACTAAATTTTAATAACCGTACGAATCCTTGATGCTCAAATCTATTTCTATTTTAGTATGCATCCTCTCAAATATTGATCCATTACCTTTACAACAAAATGAAAAATTTGTTTGACTAAAAATTTGTATGGCTAACATTTGTAAAACTAAAGCATCACATTCTTAATATATCCACCATTTATCTAAACATTCATAAATGAAAATATTTTAATATGAAAATTGAAGTCAAGTTGTATTATATAATGGGTCATCCATAGGTTCAACCGTTAGCTGGATCCCAAGTTTTAACCCTTTTTTGTGGGTTTAATAAAACTTTTAAATAACGAGATTTTTTTAAAAGAAAACTGAATTAAATATAGAGTCACTGATTTTATCAGTGTAATCGTGGATCCGAAAGAACACTGAATATAACGTTTCATATGTATCATTTAAATGTAGTTAAATAAATTTGGTTAGTTTCGAAAATAATCCCGCGCTTTAAAAAGCGCGGGTCAAAATCTAGTTTGTCTTAAAGAAGTTTTTTTTTTAAATATTTTAACACCAGTCAAATAATAGATTGAGACTTTTATCACTACACAAGGTTCCACATTAACCATCGCACATTTTTTTATTAAAAATATGTTTTGGACTGTTGTCTAGTTGGATGTGGAAGACCATCGCATATTTTTTTAAAAAAAATATATGTTTTGGTTGTTGTCTAGTTGGATGTGAAAGAGATTTAGGGAAAGGAAATCTTTTATTTTATTTTTTTTTGAACTTGGAAGGAAATCCTTTTTGACCTTTTCAAAATTCACTTTTACCAAGTTACATGTGCAAGTTCGTCATTTCTAGCAGTACTCGCATAGCACTCTCTCCAGAGGATCAGTTTTAACATGGATTTTTTAATCTCTCAAAAGTTGGAATTTCTACCTTGTATCAGCACATAATATCTTTTCTAGAAGTGATTTAAAATGTAATCCGGATATTAATGAAATAGACATAATGCTGTTTCAAATTATTTTTAAATCAGGTTTAAGAGTATATTTTTAAAAGTAATGATATAATTTTAAAGTTTAATAATTTTCACTAGAGTTTCATGCTTATGTTTTTCAAGCTAGTTTTCTCTAATAATATAATTACTAGTTATCAACTTTCCCCTTTCCGCCATAGTTGAACATGTGAAAACCAATTAGAAAGCAGAGTATTATTATACTAATAATATACATTAACCGTTATTGTTGGCATGCCATCCAATGTTTGTCGGTTGATTATTTCATTAACATGGCAATATACGTTGTAGTTTATCACTTTGTCATTGATTATTACTGAACTAACTAACTGCTCGATCTTGGAGAAACAAATGAATACAATCTTTTCAAAACGAACCGCTAATTAATAAACTATAAGAGTGTCTGAGTTTCTTAGCCTTATATGTGCATCACTAGAGCCCAGCTAATAGATCTTGTTCCCCTCCCGTTCTCGCCAATACATCGAACCAGAAGTCCATCTCACTATCGAAAACCATCTCATTACCAACGGAGCCTAAGTGCTGAAAATCTTGTTGCATCTCAATATTCGAAGTGTGTTTTTCTTCATCTTGGCTGTAAAGCGTCTCGTTCCAGAAGCTCTCGTCGATGTCTGTTCCGAAGTTCATGAAAGAGATATGATCTTGATCTATAGTACTGATGTCTCCCGATTTATTATCCATCTTAGCCTCGTTGCTATAGCCTTCGTGGCTCATGAGTGTCACCGAAGAAACATCATCACTCCCCGAAGGTGATGCTGAGAACAAACTTTCGAAAGAAGGTGTTGATGAACTTGCGCGCTCCAGTTCGCTTTTAGTACTGTTTGATTTCGTTGGTACAGATTGAGATTTGGGTTTTGTACCCTTTTTCTTGTTGCTGGTCTTGGGTTTAGCAGGTTGATAATCTTCCAGTCTTTTCTTCAAGTGAGTGTGCCATACGTTCTTGATCTCGTTATCCGTTCTTCCCGGCAGTTTTGCCGCAATCGCTGACCATCTAGAGACGATACCAAAAGAAAACGTTAGTATAAAATTTTCAAAGACCGGATTCTTGTATATTTAACTTTACACTATAGTGGACCAAGACATGTTTCTTGTGATGATTTTGTGTATATATGTTAAATGAACTTATAAAGTATACACAGACATAGTTGTATAAATGTAGAGGAGTGTAGAGTAATACCTATTGCCAAGGATTTGGTGCAAGCTAATGATAGCATCTTCCTCTTCTATGGTGAAATTGCCTCTTTTAATATCAGGTTTTAAATAGTTCATCCACCTAAGTCTACAGCTTTTTCCACATCTCAAAAGACCTGTAATTAGACGTTAGCACCATTGTTAAGACAGTTTAATTTAATTATATTATTTCATACCAGCTTGCTTAGGAAACTGGATTATATTCGTAAATTCAAATTTATTCATACCAGCTTGCTTAGGGAGGGCTCGCCAGTTACTATGGCCGTGCTTGTGGATAAAAGAGACCAAAATTTGATCTTCTTCAGGCGTCCATGGGCCTCTGTTCAATCCCATCTTCTCGCAGCATGGAGCTCTTCCCATCTTCCGATGATGTGTTTAGATTACTGATGGAAGTTTGTATTGTGGGTACGATCGAGATAGATTGTGCTGATAATATGTTGTTGATGAATTTGATGAGCATGAGAAGAACTGGCTGGATTGAGTATTTATACTGAATTTGTTGAAAGGCATGTGGGAGAACTCAAAAGCATTTCGTCATCTTCCAGGAAGGAGATGAGAGAGAGAGAGATATGTTTCGGTGTGTGTTTTTGTTATTGACACCGTAGTCAAAAAGTATGTTGTACATGCATATAGTATATTGCATGTGGGAACGAATGATATGTTTTGTTAAGACTACAATAATATACTAAAAATGTTTGGGCATGTTATAAAAAATGTGCGCAGAATTGTGATGGCGAGATATGTGTGTCAGTGTTAAAAAAGTCGTTGGGTAGACGCACAAGTGGCGTTATAGTGAACCCACACGTACAATTTTGTAGAAAATCAACATATACGACAAAACAAAAATTAACGTTTGGTGGAATATATGTTGACCCAAAATTACTCTTGTATTTATATCTGCTCGTAAAAGTCTTTTGTTATTTTTTCTCTATGGTAAAATTTCTTTTACTTTTTTACTAAACTTTGTTTTGTCAACTACTAAACTTAAATTCTTTAATCAGAGTTGTAATCTTGTTTAGGGCTAAACACGTTCATTTCTTGTAAGTAAGTGTATATATTATGATGCCATATTCTTATTTATAAAGTCTATGCTTAAATTTACTTTTTTCCTCGATTCTTTAATTAACTAAAACATTTTTCTTTTATAACTGTGAAAGATTCCAAACGATAAATTTTAGACTAATTCTCACAAAACTTTCCATCCAAATACATACAGTTATAAGTGGGAAGATGGCTAAAGCGATCCAAATCTAGAATGGACATACACCATCTAGAGTTCTATTACCACTAGATCAAAGAGTCTTGGTTTATTAATATTTATTTATTATTTACCATTATACATATTATCTACCCAAATGTGTTAGTCTGCTCGTAAGCTGTAGAAAACTGGTTTTACTAGTTTAGCTTCGAGGTTTCAATTTTGATTAGTTATTCATTTAAAGAGAATATATGAATCGAGCCTAGTTTTTTTCCAATAGCGTATATACATATATTAATATCCAAACGTTGACAAAAAAAGAAGAACATCCAAATTTTGAAAATAGAAAGTAAATTGTCGTACGCGTTTGCTTCTTTTAGTAATTTGGTTATAGTTGAATGTGTACTGAAATTTTTATAAAATGTTACATTAGTCATATATATAAATTATTGATCATTAGAGTCATATATATAAATCATTGATATAAAATAATTTGGTATATTGATCTTCGAATGATATAGTGTATTCTAATTTTCACTTAGCACAATTTTTATTTTCAAATCTAGTTTCGAATTTACTAAAAGCAGTCATCCGTAAAAGCGCCCGCAAGTTTTTTCTCGTAGTTAATAACTCTTTGAATGTAAAATTACCAAAAATGATATAAATATCTGACCGAGCCATATAGGTCATGTCTTGCAAGTTGACTAACGCGTTCACACACACTTAAGTTGAATGAAAGTTTCTGTTCAAAGTATATGGGTCAACGAAATAGGCCAAGGAGTTAGACTCCCTCTTTTGTTACCAAACAAAATAAAGTTTAGAGAAATTATGATGAATTAATCATTTAGTTCTTTTGGCCGTACTAGCTGAATGACATCAATTGATCTTAATTAAGCCTACTACCTGTAAACGCTGGTATGGTCTCACAAACACATTATGGATTAATTCTTTTCTAATGCAATTAACTTTTATATGCAAACATCATATAGTACAACCTTAACATTTGATATGCCAAATAAGGCCACAACTATCTTCAATGATGAAAGACTGTTTATTTTGCTCTTTTGTCACAAATTATATCTTCTTCAACTATTGTTTATAAAGATGCTAAATAATCCAAAGTTAAGCAAAAAATAAAAAAAAGATGCTAAATAATAATACCTCAAGTGATAAATAGATCGAGGTGTTCTGTTCTCAAATGTGGATACAGACAAATAACTCTCATTTTTATCAAAAAAGACTGTTGATACAGACAAAACAACTAGGTGTAGGTGGCGACGAATTTTTTTTTTTTCAGTTTACAAAAAGAGTTGCATAAAAATGTTGGTGCGTTACATTGGTATACGTAGTGGACGTTGCCTTTTTCTTCTTAAAAACCATGATTTTCAAGACTAACATAAAATATATACCGCTTTCTTTAATATGGACGCATCTTCTCTATTAAAAGAGAAGTACCATTTTATCTACCATTAAAAAGTCTTACTAGGTCCATTTCATTAAATTGAATAATATGACATAATGTGTTACAAAAAAAAAAGAATAATATGACATAATAATCAATAAGAATATTAATAATAAACCAATTTTAACTATAAATCATAATTTTATTTTTAGTTATAACAAATCATCTTCTCTATTAAAAGAGAAGTACCATTTTATCTACCATTAAAAAGTCTTACTAGGTCCATTTCATTAAATTGAATAATATGACATAATGTGTTACAAAAAAAAAAGAATAATATGACATAATAATCAATAAGAATATTAATAATAAACCAATTTTAACTATAAATCATAATTTTATTTTTAGTTATAACAAATCAGTTGAAAAAAATCTAACAGAATCTTTCTAAATTGTTTTGAAAAAAATAATTAAATAATGCTTTTATTAATTTCGTAATTAAGCATATAATATTAGTAGAAATTTATATTAATTAACTTTTATTATAACGAAAAAATAAAAAGATGTCTATTTTATGAATTTAGAATTAAAGTCTATATTATATTAAACTAGAAGTATTATATTAGTTAAATAGGATAAAATAATATTAAATTGATAAATTAACCTATTTAGTTATTAAAATGCTTTCATTTAAATAAGTTAGGACAAATCTCTAAAATACACCTTTTTAAATTTTTATCACCAAAATAGAACTCAAAAACTAAAATGACTAAAATAATATTTTTTATTATGAAAATTTTAATTTTTAAAAAAATTTTAAAAAAATTTAAAATCCTACCCTCAAAACCACATTCCTCAACTCGAAACAAAAAGGTCTAGGAAGTTAACCCAAAGGGTATAAGTGTATATTTATTTATATTTGATAAAAAAATAATTCTATTTTGGTTATTTTTATTTTTACGGTCTATATTTATGACAAAATAAAATTTAAGTATAGCCTAAAAAAATTCTCAATAAATTACTACCTACCATTAAAACGGGTTCAACAGTTTGTTAACCATGTCATATTTATATAAAAATAAAGTTATTAATATATGTTAAAATTTTATTTCTACAGCTATATATTTTCAAAATCATACTTAGAAGAATATTTTTGTTTGATTATTTCAAATTATGAAAACTTGAAAATATAATAACAATTAAAAAGGTAAAATGTATAAAACAAATCAATATATTAATAAAGTAATAAGAAACTTAAACACTGAGATTAAAGAGTTATAACAATACATAACACTAAGATATAAATCATATATTTAAATTTTTATGATAATATCAAAATTAAACATATATGAAATATACCCGCACGAATGTGCGGGTTAAAGTCTAGTCTATTATATTAAAAGAGAAGTCATGACTCACTTCATGTGTGATATTTTAGTTTGGACCATCTCTAGAATTTTATAAATTTTTACATAACATTATAATATCTTTTCATATCTTTAATTTTTGTGTGAAATATAAATAAATAGTTTTAAGAAAGTTCTAACAAAATCTTTTAAAATCTTTTAGAATCTTTTTCAAGATATAATTTCCAAAATTATTTGATTAAATTTTTAATTATCATAAAATATAATTAAAATTGTAATTCATTATTTATTAAAATTATATAAAATACTTTTGACAATATCTCAAAATTTTGTTTATGTATTATGTTGGTCCAACTTTATTTAAATTTTACATAGATTTCAGATTTATAAATAAAAAAAATATATAAATTAGTAATGTTACATAATAATGTTTTTAAAAATTGTTACAAAAATACAAATTTATAAAGTTTATAGAATCAAATTATACTTATTTTTTTGATAAATTTATTACATAATTTCAAATATTTGCGTATTAAAATACCCGCACGGTTGTGCGGGTCGAAATCTAGTACAGTTTTAAAATAGTGCACGGTATAGATAGAGACTATTTATTGGCACAATACTAATTAATGAATGATCAGAAAAAAACGTACATTAAAATGAAAGTCATATATTCCATGATTTGATCAGCATATTAACGAATTTCAGGCTTAGCCAAACTTTTTAACAGATTGGAGAGGATAACGACATTACAAATTTGTTTTCCAAACTTTAAAATCATTCATATTTTGAATTCTTTAATTAGAACTATGAGGTTTTTTCATCGAAAATTTATTTTATTGGTTGTTATATATCAATTTGGTTATCATTCAAATCTGAATAATATAATAGCTGTTTTGTAAAAAAAAAAAAATCATGTACTTGAGGGATATTTAACATAATTCTTCAAACTTGTATAGATTTTTCAATATTCAAATATGAACGCAAGGGACTCGAATACATGAAAAACTACAAATAAAATTCACTTCAGGGAATAAATATCAGGAGTGGATCTAAAAAAGGTTTTAGTCGGAGGCATTAACAAAAAAAATTGAATTAGTCGAAAGAACTTTTACATAAATTTTGAGCCGGTTTAAAATGATTACTTAAAGAAAAAACAAATTTTAGCTGGGTGCATATAACCCTGTTCGTCGCAATGTACGTAAAACCTCTGGTGAATACTACCCCCTCCATTACTTAAAGATACATATTTTATAAATAAAATTTGTTTTATTTTTTATATTTTTAGTGCATGTTTTATTAACTAATTGTAAACTTCAAAAAATTTAATTTCACTAATTGATTTTTTTATTGGCTTAAAATTATGAAAAAGATAAATACAAAAAACTATGTAAATTTATTGTATTTTATTAAAAATGTGAAAAAACTAGAATATGAATCTTTTAGGAACAGAGGAAATACCATATATATATATATATATATATAAAAATTTGTGTAATTTACAAGAAGGCAGAGAGATGAAGAAAGAAAGTGGTTGCCAAGCTATGATCCCTAATCAATAAATTAATAGTGA